GAAATTTGACACACAAACACTCCTACCTGGTGCGACACCCTTTCCCGACAATCGGATAGCTTAATGGTTTTCTAATTCCGAGCGAGCGGCAGCTCTTTGAAGTATATCCATCCACTTGTGCTCGGGACACCCTCCCTGTTGATCGATGAGTCTCGATTGAGATGAGCTGACACGGTTTCACTGCACACACATGTTCCTATGATGTTGTTTTCACGACCACAATCGATGAATGCACTCCAGCGGTCTTGAATATCCACAGGCGAACGATTGAACTTGGTCGGGCTTGTTAATTTCCGAGCAGAGTCCCAAAACCTGTTTTCGCGAATATAACAAGTTCTAGACTAGCTGGAGCGATGAAATTTTAACCGTGCGTCTAAATTTAAAGCGCGATCATTCGCTGCAAATTAGAACCTTCTAGCTATTGTAGTTTCTTTTATACGAGCATATGTGAAATCAAAACATCGTACAGTGAAAGCCTTACTTACACGTAAACTTCTGTTGATAACTTTCTTTTTAGAATACCTACATCAATGAGACGCGCCTCGAATGTTCCTCGGAACATAATCTTACTCCCTGGTTAAAATAAATGTCCTAGCTAGCCTACTTTCCGAGCTTCGTGCGATTGAATCACTTCCGGTTGCGAGCAAAACACGCGGCAGCCATTTGCTTTTTTTGCAAAAACCAAACCAGAACCACGAATGGGCGGTAAATTTCTAAATACTTCACCTAAATAATTTAAACTTGTTGTGGAACACGGGTCTCGACGACGTCGTTTTGGAAAATAAGACGATTCCCGTAATTCTAAGTTTGGTTTTATTAAACCAGGGCTGTGTTTCAAATCTCACCCTAATAAACCCGAGTTACTCGGGCGGATCGTGTCACGTGACAGCAGAAATGAAAGAACGCTGGACGCAGGCAGGTTTCAAAACGCCAGGTGTACAGAAGCTTTACCTCGCAGTATGATTTCGTTAATTTTAAAACACGGCCAGGAATTACATTTTTTATGAATGAATAGATAGATGACCCGTTTCGAATGAATGGATCCATGAGTGCGGCTGAGCAATTCCGACCGGTCGGTAAATCCCGCCACCTGGTGCCTTTTGTTTTACCATTGAAAATATTGAATTTCTGAAATCTATATTACGACCTTGAATTTACGATATCAAATGGGGGACACTTGTTCCCAGCCGCCCCTGGACTGGACAGAGACCGATTTCTTTTCTTGTGTGATGCGAGTTTCGCGAAATAAACGGTGTTTGAAAGTTTTCACATCGAAGCCAGCCATTTGCTTTCCTCACTTTAGGCACCGATCCTTTCTTCGATCTCGCTTCATTAATACTGGTCGTATCTCGTCACCGCTAGCACCGAAGTGTTCCTTGGTCTTTCTAGACTCTACGGACACCACTTTGAACGTGTGTAATAAAAGGTTTCGCGATGCTACGACGCTTTTACCGTGGGCATGGTCATGGCGGCCAATTGTACTTTCCGAGCCTGTGTTCGGACCTCCGAGGCTGAATTTTCGTTTCCGAGCCGCGATGTTGGTGTCAAACGCGAGCACGCGTTCCGTAGAAGACCCGACGACTGTAGTTTACCTCGGATCGAGTCGATGGTTTACTCTACGAGCACTGATGCGACTTCCCGCACGAAAGCAGTCATTTTCAGGTTCGATATTGCTCACCGCTTCATCATTTGCTACCACAATTTGCTTTTTTGTTCTGAAGCGCTCCCTCGGGTAAAAGGAACGTTCGCTATGCGCGCGAGATTATTTTAATTCATTCATCTCGTGCGGCGCGCGCTCGGCGGAGCGGCTAGTCGTTTGAAGGCTCACCAGAGCCCGAGCAAGACTTCAAAGAGCTGCCGCTCGCTCGTAATTAGAAAACCATTATAGGTACGTACAACTATCAAATTGTTGGGGAAGGGTCTCGCACCAGGTAGGACTGTTTGTGTGTCAAAAGGGTACTAATAAGGAAGTGTGTTTTTACATTGAGACAGCTCGTCTGAAAAATTGTATTCTTGGCCTAATAAAGTCTGAGGTCTCAAAAAGAAATGAGCTGATTCTTGTTTTTCTGGCGCAGTGAAGAGTCGTTAAATGAGCCACTTCTTTTTTATTTATGTCTTCAGGCCCCTGCTGTCCACCACGGGAAAAGGTTTGTTCCTGCAGAGCTTTTTGTATACATGCCCCTAGAGTACAACTGGCCCCACACTCTTTATTTTCCCCCCTTGTGCTTTTTCTGGTGCAAGATGAGCTCGACTGAAGCATGAGTAACCTTCTAGCTTGCTATCTGTTCAGTTTGAACCCTCAAGCTAAGTCCGTTTTCACTTGACGGCCAACATCTGAACGCAGGCGCTGTTTCTGCGCCAAACCAAAAGTGTGCCTTTCGTCTCCGAGGGACGTTCATTCTGAGTGATGGTCGTCTTTTCCAGAGACGGTGAGGACAAATGCACATCTGTGCTGCAAGAGGGCCTCCACGCAACCCTACAGAGCTTTTTGTAGACATGCCCCTACAGTACAACTGGCCCGACACTTTCTATTTTGTCCCCTTGTGCACTTTCTGGCGCAAGATGAGCTAAACTGAAGCACGAGTAACCTTCTAGGTTGCTATCTGTTCAGTTTGAACCCTCAAGCTACGTCCCTTTTCCCTTGACGGCCAAAATTTGAACGCAGGCATGGTTACTGCGGAATACAAAAAGTCTGCCTTTTGTCTCCGAGGGACGTTCATTCTGTGTTATGGTCGTCTTTTCCAGAGACGGTGAGGACAAATACACATATGTGCTGCAAGAGGGCCTCCACACAACCCTACAGAGCTTTTTGTAGACATGCCCCTACAGTACAACTGGCCCGGCACTTTCTATTTTGTCCCCTTCTGCACTTTCTGGCGCAAGATGAGCTAAACTGAAGCACGACTAACCTTCTAGGTTGCTATCTGTTCAGTTTGAACCCTCAAGCTACGTCCCTTTTCCCTTGACGGCCAAAATTTGAACGCAGGCATGGTTACTGCGGAATACAAAAAGTCTGCCTTCCCATTGGACCACAGATGTTCGGTGGACATCCGCTGGACATCCGCCAACAGACATTTGGACGTCCGTAGGAGATCCACGAACATCCCGGGGACGTACTAGGGACATCCGTAGGATGGTCCCGTGCAAAGAAATCGATGTACCAACAAAAATCCCACGGACGTCGAAACCGGATTTTCGGACGTCCTTCGGACATCCGATTTTTCTGTTCAGATGTCCAGGGGATGCCTGTGGGACATCCTGTTTATTTTCAGGGGAGCTGACCTGGGCTACTGGTCAGGCTGCTGATCAATGCATTCCAGTGATCAAAGCGACCGAGATGCTGCTACTAAGAATTTGGAGTGTGCATTCTATTCTGGAAATGCACCAATTCATGTGTCTCTTCACTCGGATATTGCGTAGTGTGTTTGCATTCAAGTATCGTTTCTTCAGTAGGCTAGGCTGCACCTTTGGATTTCTATACATCACTATAGCAGCAATATATGCCAGACTTCTACGACACCACTTTACGGTGGTAGGGTGCCTGTCGTCGGTAACTAATTTTCAGTGATATCACAGCCCTAATGTATTAACATCAAAGCAGCTGGCAGTTCGCTGCAATGTCAATATATTAAGATTGTGAACCTGTCGTGGGTAACTAATTTTCAGTGATATCACAGCCCTAATGTATTAACATCAAAGCAGCTGGCAGTTCGCTTCAATGTCAATATATTAAGATGGTGATATCACACTGAAAAAGAAGTAATCCAAAACAGCCTGCCACCACAGTGTAGTGTCGTTAAAACCTGGAATATATTAGTGTCACCGTGATGTTCAGAAATTCAATCTGCAGCCTCCAACCAACAATGAAAGAAGGAAACATGAGTACAAACACAATGCACAATTCCACAGTAAAGTGCCATACATGAATAAATACATTTCTAGAATAGAATTCCCAGCCCAAATGTTTAGTGGCATACAGTCACTTTGATTACTGGAAAGCATTAGCACAGGAAATATATAATGCATTTTTGGTGAAGAGCTCTTCCTGAAAGATAAAAATGTGGCCTTATCAAAGCCTCAGATACATATGAAAAGAAAGTCTTTGGGTGATGCAAGGAATAACATTTTATTCAGACTAGCAGGGGAACATCATATCATAGATACTTCTTGTACCTGACGGAACCCTGGTAAAAATAAGGTAAGCAGGTATCCACGCAAGTTGACACAAAACAATTGAAATGCAGCCCGTGCAGATATCACAGTTTAAAATGAATCACAAGAGTAGGAACAATAACGCTTCACCGTTGTGCCACATTCTCAAGCAGTGTCACTAGTTTTCAACCTTTAATTTTATAACACTAAAGTATATGCGAATTCCGTCATAAAAAGCAGAAAAAAAGTTTCACAACACTCAGAATCGCATGTAGGCAAGTACAAAACGGTATAAACATAGCAGAACACAAAACATGGGTTCACAAAGAGCATGGAGGAAATAACTCGCAAACCACGGGGCAAAGTCTAACACACTAAACAAAATGTTCTCAATAAATTGTAAAGAAAGGTAGTAAATTTGATTAAAAAAAAAGCTTCATTCAGATGAAAGCAGTAAACTTCCCATAGACTTATCTCGTTAAGCTTCCTTCACCTAGGAGAAATAAATGTTGCTTGGTGTCATTTATATACTATTCAGAAAACAGAAGTGAAATGAAATGAAAAGCACATTTTCCCCGCCCTTCCCTAGAAGACTAGAATGCTCAACACTGTCAGAGTTCAAACACTTTGTCACATCCTAAAATGAACAGAGGCGGGCGCTACAAGCCGCCGAAGACAATCTAGCTTGGAGAAATTGACACAAAAGGCCCGGTCACACTTTTGCAACCAAGTACGACCGAGAGAGACAAGACCGGTTTTTAAGCCTCTTACGACGTCTTAGGACCAGCTCCGCAGCAGCGCATCCGGTCCTAAAACGTTGTAAGAGGCTTAAAAATCGGTCTTGTCTTTCTTGGACTTACTCGGTCGCAAGAGTGTGAACGGGCCTTTACAAGCGCCACATAATCTGGCGTTCAACTGCAAGTTTATATGTCACGCCTCTGCAACTAGATTGGTGCGATGGCTTAAAGCGTCTGCTGCGGTCCACTTTAGATGGAGACAAACTATGGGCCACCTGGCAGTGTTGGACGCTGTTATGCTCAGCCTCCTTTGCTGGCATATCGGGAGGTAAAAGGTCCAAGAAAATTAGACAACCAAACTACAAACAAGCTGTGAATGACTAAAAGGTGCACTTAGATAACAAAGAAGTGGCCTCTCCAATGAATAAAACAACAAAAACCATTGTCACTACTTCAAAATAAAAATAAAAAGACAAGTAAATGCCTTGGTGCGGCTTGCTGCAGTCGTCGGACGGTGTTGCAGATCCGGTTGCTGGCTCCGTTTACTCGGAATCTGGAAATTCAAAGAAAAAAGTCACTAGAGTTTATTTTGGTGTTTCTTGCATACTAGCCCTTCTAACTGAGGTTAAGTGAGTATAAATAACTATGGTGTGCTCCATAAAAGTGAGAAAATGACCAGTCAACAGAAGAACTTCAGCTGCTATGCATTGAACTAAAAGGCTGAAGAGGCCATGCTAAACAAGCACGATGGTGGCTTATAGATGGCGATCTGAGGAATGACAAGTGTCTTAACCAGGCGACACACAAAAAGGTTTGCACAAACAAGAATGTGCTCAAAAAATTCAATGTGGTGTTTTAGGTCCTATATGACAGTCATACAAGTCCCTTCTTACTCTTCCACTACCAACTTATTTCTGAAAAACACACATCAAAATTTCTATATAATTTTCGATACAAACATTTTTGAAATTTTTATTTTGATCCGAACAATGTATTGCTTGCACGTTTGGCTCATGAATACAAACAGAATAGTATAGTATTATAGAAAAAGTTGTGTTTGAGAGAAGCGTTCCCTGAACACGAGGACAGATTGTGAATATAGAAAGTTTGAAATAACATATTAATAACCAAATGCACTGAGATCAAATTCCAAGCACACAGGCATCATTTGGTCCTAGCATGGACTTGTTTACTATCCACCGACTTCCATGAACTAGATTGCGAACTATGTGTATGAAGAGAAGTGCTGGACCCCATTGAACAAGATAGGATCGTTGGAAACCAAAACATAGGCTGGCACCTTGCAACAGGGCCAATAAGACAACTACTAACCGTGAGTAGTACAAGTGCGCACCTTGTAATAGGACTGCCTTTATTCTACATTTCCATGTGTATGCAATTTTCTAACTGTAAGGCTACTCTGCCAAAAAGTGGACTAGCAATAAATGGTTTATTGCAAGTGTATTATACATCAAGATGAAAAATTAAATATGATCATGACTCGGCACAGCTATGAGGTATAGGAAATGTCACGGTGGCACGCTCTAGATATTCCTAGGCATCTGAGGATCTCCCCTCATGAAAATGCAGTTGCCTTGGCAGGGAATTCAGCACACAATCTCCAGCCATTCTGAAACGGCGTAGCTACTGCCCCAACTGGGGGATGCCCAACATTCTACTGTATTAAAGAAATACTGTGGCAGTTATATGAATGATTAATTACAATAATTTATTGAAGGAAGCACTGCCCATGAAATAATGACGACCTCGCATGCTGTAGCCCATAGGCATCTATAGCGACAAAGCTTTGGAAGCCTTACACTACAGACTGGCAGGAAGCATACCGTCAGCTTGGTCGACTTCTCTTCGGTTTTCTTTTTTTCCGGCCATGCGCTCAGGTGCGTGACGGAGCCACGACTTGATGGCTTCTTCTATGGCATCCTTTCCTCCCGGCAGCTGCCTTCCAGCAGCTGAAATTAATAAGTGTGTATGAATAACATAATACCTGTGATGCCTCACACAATGAATGTGAGTGTTCCCATTGAATACTGCGTCGTCAATAGATCAACCCAATGTCTGGACTTTCGACAGCCAGTTTGATAACAATTGGAGAAATAGATGCATTTTTGCTTATTATTATAAACACAATTTTTGTAAAGAAGGTCCACCAACAGATAAAAAAGACCGTTGGAGTCTTGAGGTTAAACCCCAGCACAGAACAAATGTTTAGTTTTTCTAAGCATTCGGGCCAGATGGGTCACATGCACTTCCCTCCCTATTGATTGCCTTAGATGACACAGCTGTAGAACATCCACTGACCATCTGCATCCTTTTCAGATAAAGGGTGGACAAATTTATTTCGAAGCAGTGAAAGCTATGTTGGGATAAAGCTGACAAAGACCATAACAAGCATAAAACTTAATGAATATAATTATTAGGGATGCTGAACAGAAATACTGATATCACAAAACTAGGTGGGACGCTACAAACCATTATTCGTGAATCATACAGCAAATGGGTGGCTAAATTCATGTAGCAATTAGGCGTGCGACGATGCATTCCTTGCTTCTTTTTTTTTTTTTTTTGGAAGGGGGGGGGGGGGGGGGCTTTACCTCCCTGCTGCACAAGCGAGCCTGCTTCCTATCCTCCAAACTTTTTTAGCTAGAAATGTGACGTCACGCGCCCCTAAAAAATACGGCCATTCGCTTGAGATATTGCTGCACAAGTAATGTTTCGGGGGGTTCGCAGTGTCCTGTCTGACGGTTTTACTGCCCTGGTTTCTAAAATACAAATTTCAGTCCAGCACCCCTTTAACCTCGCAAGCCTAATTATGGACAGGCCCAGATTACAGACAACCTTTCTGGGGGGGCTGATATCAAAAAGATGCTGGGCCAGGCTCGGATTAATTGGAGGGGCATGCATGTTTCGCCACTGGCCTGAGTAATAGAAAAGAAAGTGTAGATATATTAACTTACCCACAATTGCAGTGGCAGTCCTCAAGGACGAGAAGTTCTGTTTGCCTTTCCGGCCCACCCACGAAAACTGTGCAGCTAGTTGGTCGCCGAGCAGGTGCGCTAGCATGCTCTTTGTCGCCTTGCTGGCCGTTTTCCCTCCGAGTTCCCTGAATTCTTGGACCTGCATAAAATGCATGACAGTGTTTATGTTTGGACTGAATAATCTTAGTTAGGTGGGGTAGAACAGAGATAACATCACAGCACGCTAGCAAATAGCCACGTGAGATTTTTTAAGAATCTCGTGCGCCTTCATTAGAGCTTAATATAATTAGACACACAAAGGCCATCCTCATGGAAACAACCTGATTAGGAGTATCTCAGCATGCTCTACAATGTTTATATTGGGGGTTTGCACCCAAATATATATTTAAAAAGTTATTTATGAACCGCGGTGTCTAGCAAAATATTTTCTTTAAATCCCCGACTTTTCCAGGTTTTCCCTGACTATTTCGATCAAATTCCCCGACCGTTACAGAAGTGTTGAAATATTACAACTGCTATTAAACACATAATATATGAATAAGCTCACAATTTAAAATAATGTAATGAAATTTGTCCTTATGTTGCTATAAAAAAGGTCATGTTTAACAAAGTTCCTGGCAATGTTATTTAGCGCAGCCACGTCAATGCACGACTCTTGGGCTTCATTGCACACCACCGCATCACTCGCACTGGCCTTTTTCTCTGATTTGGCCAGAGTCTTGACGATTTCCCTGACAATTCTTACTTTCCCAGATGATCCAAAATTCCTTGACAATTCCAGGTTTTCCGGTCGCATCGCAAAAAATATTATGACTCGGCCTGTAGGACCGTGAACAATACTGTGCTGGTTCAACAGGCTTAGCATGCACCAGCGTTTTTGTTTTGTTTTTTTTACTCTTGGCACAAGTTAGCTGAAACACCTTGTATAAGACATGAAGATATTGCTGAAAAGCAATATGTTGCATAGTTCCTTTTATGGTGGAACCATGCAGCAAAAAGATGCATGACAGAGTTGCCATGCATTCAGATATTACAGCCATATGCAACTGTTGCATCACAATGCCATGCAGATGTAGAACCCAAAGCACAGCCAGACTTTTAAAAGGCAATTTACGAAGTTGCCAAATTTTGGCACTTCTACTCGGGTTCATTTAGAGAGAATCTCATCACGTGTAGGTAGACATTCATTGAACTGCCCTGCAGTGTATAGCACCTTCTTTTAGAAAATGCAGCATTGTTGACTCTGTGTAGCTGTATTAAAGTGCTCACAAGCATCGCCGCCTTTTCGTTCACCAACGTCTTGTCAAAGGCAAAGAGGTCGTCTAGCTTGTTGAACGGTTGTTCGACGAGACGGGGGCGTACGACGACTGCATGGCTTGGAAGGACCTCACAGAGCTTGTTCAGCATTTCCCCATGTTGCTGGACCGTGAAACGGACAATGTTGAGGAGCCTCAAGACGTGCTGCTTGAACCCTTGTTCTATAAAGGAAACAATTAATTAAAACATAATTTACATGATCATTCATATTAGGCATTGCATGATTCACCAATGAACATAAAAATATATAGAGGCTGAATTCAAAATTGAACGACGACAAACTACAAAATATTTTGTCACATGCTAAGAATTCATTATGTTAATATGTAGCAAGGGCCAAGGGAATCTAACCCACATTAAAAAAGTTGTCATAATCACACTGAGGCGTGACATGAATCACTGTGAGAACAGCGGAAATGCAATAGAACGTTTAGGAATGTTATGCAATTACCTCGTATATGCGTCGTGCATCATTGAGAAGACCGCCACGCAATGCAACACAATGGAAGTTAGAATGAGCATGCAACATACCCAGGCAAACCGGAAAACTAGCGAGGAAGGGGGCGCTGCCATTGTATGCTGGAACTAGAGTGTAGAGTGATGGAACCCGTAATGCAATCTAGAAGACGGCTGCAGAACTGCACTTGTTTTTTGCGTAGATCCAGCGGGACCATAGCACCATCTAGGAGGCCATCACAGAACCACGATTGTTTTGCGATAGGCGTAGGGAGGATTTTATTGGAAGGCTCCCAATAACTGCTATCGCAGTAAAATATAAAAATCAGTCTCTCATCCTGTGATAGTCTAATTTACTACAAGGGTCCACCTAGGTAATACATTTTTTTTACGCAGTGTCTAGCGTTACGTCTGACATAACTTTACGTCATGGTTTTGAGTTACGTCTGACGTAACCCAATATGAAGATTAAAGTTACGTCCGACGGAACTCCAAATAAAAATTAAAGTTACGTCCGACGTAACTTTACCCTAAGGTTTCGAGTTACGTCCGACGGAAATAAGTTACGGCCTGTGTAACCTACGGAACCTTATTGAAGGTTACGCTTTGTGGCCGAAACACGACGTAAACATAAAAATATATATAATTACTTCTACATGACGTCCAATGCAGCGTTGATAAATTGGTCAAAATCGCGGCTCTATTTGTATCTCCAGATTTGTCGAGGGGGTTGGAGTGTGTTCCTCGTATGTAGAGGCTGCGTAGGCCCGACGGGTTCGATACCCGTTACATACACTTTTTTTTTCTCGTTTTTTCATTTCCTTTCTGCGAATTTTGTCTCCTTTAAAGGACACATGAAAAGAAAAAAAAATTTTTTTAAACGGCTTAGATGGAAAAAGGATGTCATAAAACGATTTTACAACGAAGAAAAAAAATTTTTAGAGCTATATTTACGGCGTATTACGAATTTGTAGTTGGCGCCCGCGGGCCCCGCGGAAAAGTTGCCCATATTTATCACGTGACTGGCCCTTATTTATCACGTGGTGCTTCAGCTCTTTCGAAAGCTTTCTATGGTCTTTGAAAGTTATTTATTTTCTTTATTTTTTTGTTGCACTTATTTTGTAACAAAATATTTTGACTTTTGAGAAACTTTAAGTATAAGAAAATCATCACTTCCGTTTTGACGCTTACGAAACTAAACAAAGACCGCCATTTTTTCTCCGAAGGGGCGCGGAGCACGGTCGGCGCGGTGTTGTTTTTGACATGCCGGTTCAACGAAAGCGACGCCGCTGCTCGACGAAAGGCTGCAGTTCTCGTGATCGTGACCAGGAGGATTTCAGTAAACATGCGGTACCGGCAGACGAGCATTTGCGTGTCTTCGAGTCTACTCGAAGACTCGGGCGGGAGCCGCGACCCGCCGGCAACGCTGTCCGCAGGCGTATCGCTGGCCTCCAAACTTTCCGCAGGGGGGTTCCCTGGTCTGCGAGGCGTGTTCTCGTAGGGGCGAAGCCCTAGCTGCCCGAGCCGGTCGAGGAGTCTGCGCTTCAACTCGGGATCCATCGTAAAAGACGCGGAGCAGACTACCACCGCTTCCACCACCAGCACACAAACCCAACAACACAGTGCGCGCCGAAGTTGAAAGGAAGTGGCACGTTTTCTAGCCGAGCAGCCAAGCCAATCCAAGCGGCTTACCTCGCCTCCCCGCGGACACACAGGCGCGAGAGAGAAAAGTGGAAAGGAGGAGCGTTACACCGCGCTTGACAAAAAATCATCTCGCGCCGTAAATATAGCTCTAAAATTTTTTTTTCTTCGTTGTAAAATCGTTTTATGAGATCCTTTTTCCATCTAAGCCGTTTAAAAAAAAATTTTTTTCTTTTCATGTGCCCTTTAAGAGGAATTTTCTTTTTTTTCGATTTGCTTTTAGATATGAACCCACTTCCTCCTAGGTGCGACACGCAAAAGAAAAGAAAAACATTAAAAATGGAAACCGCAGCACGCGTGCTGCGAGCCTGAGAAGCTGTAGATGAGAAAGTTGCAGTACAACCGCTAACCAGTGGTAATTACATGAAGGCGTGCCGGTACCACGACCGCCACGACCTACGCCAGTACGAAACTCATCCAGGTCGAAACGGGCAGAGGGTGGGGGTAACTTTATTTTTTATTTCGAGTTCCGTCGGAAGTAACTTTAATTTTCACATTGGGTTCCGTCGGACGTAACTCGAAACCTTGAGGTAAAGTTGCGTCGGACGTAACTTTATTATCTATTTGGAGTTCCGTCGGACGTAGCTTTAATTTACATATTGGGTTACGTCGGACGTAACTCGAATCCTTACGTAAAGTTACGTCGGACGTAACTTTAATTTTTATTTCGGGTTCCGTCGGACGTAACGCTAGACACTGCGTTTTTTTTTATTGTGGAAAAAAAACTGTTATCAGTAAAAAGTTATTAATAAAAACTACATTTTTTTATGGACATACATGGGTTTAGGCCTATTCCGGATCGGAACTTGAAAACGTTGTTGCAGGCCATTGGGGCGTTTTAGGAAGCTAACACAGGTAGTGTAGGAAAGGAGACCATTGTCACTTTGCTTTCGTCACCCAGTTCATCTGATAAATGCCCCACAACAATGTTTTTAAGCTCCGGTCTGGAATAGGCTTAACTCCATGCTAGACGATAGGATATTTATTATTTTTATTTGCAACTTACTGAGGAAAGCTTTTTCTTCAAAATGTTTATAAAACAAATTCACTGCCTAGCTGAACACATGTTGTAAATTACAGTGTCTATAAATGTGAAACTGATTTTTGTGATTTTCTTAAAGTGGGTTAGATTTCTTTGGCCCTCTTTGTATAGTTAAAGAAGAAACAAATAGTGTGAAAGGTACAAAGGACGCAAGAGTTATATACCAATGAAAAATTTCAGCCTTATTTGCTTAACTATCCGATCATGACAAAATTTATATCGGACTTTCTCTCTATCAACTGGCCTAGGTGTGTAGAAAGAATGCCTTGTGCCAAGCTTTCACTGTCTGATACATTTATATGAACTTAGGATCTAATGCAGAAAAGGTCCACTGGATGCAACTGTTTCAGTATAAATGCTAAAAGCAGTTACCCTGGTCTTGTGGATCCTCTCTCCCTCTTGCCTGATGCCCTAGAAATTCACAAGTATCAATAACACTCAGGATATTTGTGTATCATTGCTATACGCATATAGGTCAATATTGTTTCGTTGGCACCACAATATAAAATTATGAGGCAACCTATAATGAATTGTATCCAATGAAATTAAACCTATAATAGCAAAATTTCCGCGGGACCATGAAACAGAGGTGTTCAACCGCGTCGGCCACTTCTCAGGGTATGCCTGTTCAAGACAGTGAAAGTTCACCCTACAACATTGGTGCAAAGCAGTGAAGCTTGACATAAGTGCCAGAGCTTAAAATATGGATGCCAACCTATCTTTGAATATTTCAATTATTCTCGGAGAGCTTTCTCATATGTAGCATTTAGAAAAGCCTATGTATATTTTTGACACATTGTCAGTAAGACACCAATTTTTACAAAAATTGTCAACTGCAGAGTGTGATGAAGTTTGAACGGGACAATTGCCAGTAGATCAACCTGCTCAACTGACATTAAATTCAAGTTAACGATTAATCACTTGAGACTTAGTGAGCCATTAATGTATTAAATTAATTTCCCAGCCCCAACGTTAACTACTCAGAGAGGGCTTGAAGATTTAACAATACCTTCATTAAAAGAGACTGATTCTTGTGAGCCCCCAATGTCTGTAACTGAAAAAAAAACAAAAAAAAAACTGTTACTTGCCTGAAACTTGCTTATAAGTTGCAGATAGTATAGGATGAAAAATGAAATAAACTGTATTGTTGAATACAAGAGCAAAACACTCGCTTGATTTCATATCTTGTGCCACCTTTATATATGTTTTACACTGCATACAGTAAATATAATTTAATTACTTTTAAATTAATTTCTTACAAGCAAAGCAGGCTTTGCTAGTAGCAGTGGGTTTTTGCAAAAGAATGGACATAAATTTAGAAACCTGGGAACATAGGTATATGCTCATGTTCTCAGATAGTCCGCACAGTGTAAAATATGAGCTTTCTAGGCATGTATAGTCCACAGACTACGGTCCGGAAAAAGTGGCATGCTATTTTAAATGCTTACCTATGTCTGTAAGGTTGGAGTCATCGAAGGCTTCAAAAGAGGATGCTCGTGATTGTTTGTCACCTGTAGAGCGCACAAACGCAGTGGGAATTAATGCTCTGCTGAAAGCTGTCCATATCTGCACTAAGAACTTGATAGTGAATATTTCTCCTTGGATTAGAAACAGGCGAGAGGGAACCTTTAATTGCAACCTAAGTGATAAGGATTTTTATTTTTGAAAAATTCAAAACTAGACAGTACAAAAGGCTCTTACCGTGCACACAGGGGTCATCAGAACTGCTCCCTGGGTGATCAGGCAGGTTGCCTGCATCTAAAGCGTAACGAAAACAAAGAAAAAAAGAAAAGACTTGGCTATTGATGGCCATCAGATTATGCAAACATTGCATGATCTGGAGTACAGCACCAAATTAACAAGAGAAAATTATATATAAAATTTAGGGACACAAACTTTGCTAATACTGTCATAACACAGAGATAAAAATAGAGCAGCCTATCTCCTCCCCGAGGGTAGGTATGAGCATGAAATGCTTTGCATGGAAGCCGACGCTAGGCCATCTGTGGCACTAGCGTCGGCTAGTGACATCTGCATTGCCCTAGGTACATACCTAGCTTTGTCAGGACCTCATATACACAAAACCACAGTCAAGCTTCTATCAAATATCACAAATTTGAATAGGAAAGCATAGCATTAATGGCACGAGAGACGCTATGAAAGACACACTAAAGTTGAGGTGTGCTTACTTTCACTCCCCGTAGAGCTGCTACTCTGCATTTGAACAGAAGAGACCATGGCTGGAAAATAAGTGTCTTGGGTTGCACCTCGGTTGCAGCAGACTATGCTTATTTATGACATTGTCATTCAACAGCATCAGACAGGAGTCAGATCCTGGTCAAATTACCTTGGGGAAAATCACTTGGAACTGTGGGAACTCTCCGTTGAACTTTCTTAGTCGGCCTTGCTGGTGCTGGGTCAGCATCAGACTCTGACCATTGGGGAGGCGGCCTTCTCACTCTCTTGCCTGGGGGCATTTCGTTGTCGCTGCTCAGGTCTGAGGTGTACTGGCTGCGTTCAAGTTTTTTTCGTGCTTGTTCGTATGTTGCTAAAAGTAAGAGTTGGTTGTGTCAGCTTTCTTATATCATATCAGGTTCCAAGGAAGGCTCCCATGCTCCTTGAAATAGTACATACCAAACAGCCCTTTGACGGACACATCAAACTGCTGCCACAATGCATCTGGCGGTGCTGCCTTCCTCACCATTGCTGTCACTTTATCTCCTTTGATATGCTTCGGCCATGCACAGCGGTCATCGTCGACCCACAAGGCTGGTACGACCTCAACCTGCTCAAGGCCCAAGAACTCAACAATGGCATATCGCATCTGTAAAAAAAAAAAAAAAAGAAACTTTTGGTTACTGACAATTGGAGAATAGCACATAGAAAATGTCAGATATTTTCATTAGGAAGCAGGCGGTCTACATACGATGGAAACAAGTCATCTAAATTTAAACATTGAACGGAAAGTTTCAGAAAGTTTAGCTCTTGCATTAACACTAACCTAAATGCACGAAACAGATGTTGTTTGCACTTGCTGTCTAGGCCAGGCCGCAAAGTCCGCATGATGTAACAAATTCAGGGACGTTAACCAGTGTGCAGTTCTGGCAAAGTAACAAACTTGCTGTCCCAAGGCAACTTCACCATTTTTTGGATGTTACGCAAAGGCCATGGCTTTAGCTCAGACAGGTGTGAAACAACAGAAATGCCAAGCCTTGAGGATTCAAAGGGTGCAGAGTACAGTTCTTCTTTGACAAGAAACTCCTGGCCAATTATGCATGGCTCGTTTGAGCCTTTCATGTGGGCTATGTTCCTGGCAATGACTACATGGCCATCTTGCAAGAAACAATTGTCCCGTTCACTTAGAGAAATTCTAAAGTTCCCACATGTTAGCATCCGGTACTCAGGAGGGCAACATTCCGACAACAGCAGCCCTCCGCAGTGAGGATGACTGAGGTCCACAAGTTTCCCACCATCAGAGGACTTTCTGCACGTCTTTGTCCGTGCCTCTGCAATTCGATTGCACAGCTGCTCCAAAGGTTTCCCATGCTTGCGAAGCTGCTTCTTCAACACTTGCATGTTGCTTTCGAAGGGAAATGCACTGAAGGAATCAAGCTCCCCCATCCTTTGAACATCAGAGGCAAGGTGTATGAGGCAATGTACGTTGAAAGATACATGGTGATCTCCGTACAACTCAGCAAAATCAAAAACGAAACACCTCAGGAGTTCACCAGCATAGTTGGCATGCTGTTGACAAAGCTGTCGGTTGGCAAGTATTGAGAGAGAAGCATGGAGGAGCAAAAAATGCTGATAGAGGCGATCTGTCAGGCACAGCTTCAGAAGCAAAGGTCCAGTGTAGAAAAGAACAAGCCTAAATTCAACTGCCTTCCAGCGGTCTATTTCATCTCGTCCTCGAGACTTTCGCGGGAATTCGCTTGGAATGTGAGGACGCAGCTGCTTGCTTTTCTCGTTAAAAGCATGCCGCTCTAGCGGCCCCCAGCGAACAGCGAGTGGTCCTGAAGTCCACAATGAAAGCAGTTTTTTCATGACCCCAAGCAGCACAAGATGCATATAGTCCAAGGGCAAATCGTGCACACTGTTGATAGGCAGGTTCAACAGGATGGACTCTCCTTTGTGATGTTCTGCATCATGCTGCTGCCTGAAACTTAAGTCTGTGCGTAATGGGCAGTCCATGTCAAGGAACACTACTCTTCCATCCAAGTACAAGCCCTCGACCGTGCACGTTGGGCAACCACTGTAGCCTCCATGACCCTTCGTCATTGTTATGAAGGCTCGTGCAGGAGCATCACAAATGATGGACCTCACCTTGACTTGCACGAGACTGCCATTGACAGTGACACCTTGTGAAAGCAGTGCCTGCAGCTCTTCAACGAAAGTAACTAAGAAATCGTTTGAAGACATTGGCTTCGAGTGCCCTGCAAATGCACCAACAAGGAATGGTGCTACATCATCAATCCCACCAACCAAGCACTGAATAGGCCAGAGTTGCATTTTGGAGCTCTTGGACAAGGGCAAGCCGTCTATGTTAAAAGTGAGGGAAAGTACAGCTGGCAACTTCTCCACATGACACAATGCATGTTGCAACCCAGCAGCGAGTCCAAAATGGCAGTATTTCCCTGGTTCCACAGTTCTGATGGGGAATTGCTCATGTGGTCTGCGAGGTGTCTGTAACAACGTGCGTCCATCATTCGGTAGGTCGGGCATTCCACCCCGACTTCTTAAAAGCTTGAGGAGAGCTGTCAGTGGCCTTCTCTTAATTCCATGATCTATTGCCCACTCTCGCAACGAGTCTTGGAACCCGGCCGGCGTGCCTGTACCTTCTTCAGCCTCGCTGCACTCGGAAGCACCCAGACCTGGCAGGCCGCCTTCAACAAACTCACCGAACGAACAAGCCTTATCGCAATCTTCTTCGCGCCTGGACTCTTGGCGGCAGTGCTCGCTGGTATCTTCAACGGCGGCGGATCTCGGAGGTAGCTCGGGAGAATTTTGAACACCCTCATGTTCTGTCTCCTGTGCGTCGTCGTCGCCAGCGTACCCAAGAAGTTCAAGAGTTCTTCTTGTTTCTCGAGCAGCTTTTTCACAAGCGTATGCGCCTAGCGAGCGCGGCATGATACATGAAACCAGCAGATCCAATACGGACAAGAACCACACTTCGCCACACTTACATACAAAATGGCGGTATATCCGAATTCGTACATAAACAGTACATCAACCGGCTAAAATGAACACAACTTGGCATACTCACTTTGCCGCGGACGACGACGTGGTGGTAAACGATAACTGTAAAAAAAAAAGCGCGCGAACCTGGGAGCGCCGACTGTACGAGGCGAGTGAGCGAGAACAAAGGAGTCGTGACGACGATGGCGATCTTGCGGCTACTACTTCAATAGGGAGTTTTAGAATAGCGCACGCTAAACTTTGCGTACGCAAAGGATAGCGTCGTCGGCACTGCGCATGCGTCGAACGCAAACCACGTTTTGCGCTTTGCGTGCGCTATTTTAGCGCACGCTATTTCTCAGAAATTTCGTGCGTACGCAAAGGGTCTTTGTGCTCCTCCAAGGAGGATTTGTGATGAGAAGTCGGCTGAAGCCAAGACGAGCACAGTTAAAAAAAATGGCGGCCCCCAGGATCGTGGCTGGGGCCGCTTTGGCGGCGTCGTGAGTGCGACCTCGGCGGCATCCTCGCGACTGCGATTTTCAATACGGGACGACATTGCACTCGGTTCGGAAAACCCATCAAGGTGGGCAACGATCACCGACAACTTGATGCTTGCGACGAGCGAACATTTATCGGCGAAGGTCAGTGCACTCTTGCCGAGGTGACGCATGCGGACACGACCGGTCGACAGCTCGCGTCGGATTCTCACGTTTAAACAAATGTAAAATTGTTACTCCGGACCAAAAAGCTTGTTTTTTCTCAAGTTACAGCTTTTAGTGTGTGAAATAAAAATCGTGACTGTATCTTGGTGGCGTTGCAAGCGCGAGATGCTTGGGCTTTTGCGTCGCGACGGAGAAACGCTATTCTAAAACTCTCTTGCGTCGCGTGAGCTAACGCAAGCGCTAAATTTAGCTCTAGCGTGCGCTAAAGTTACGAACGTTATTCTAAAAAAAAAACAAGACAATCGCTGAATGGAGTAAACAAAAACAAACGGAAAAAACAACAAGCACACTTATAAAGTAATAGAAAAAATATAAACTATTATTTTCAACACTTTGTGACTCGCGTCGGGTGCTCGGGGGTCAGGGCGGACGCCGGGGCTCGGGACAGCTCCAGCCTCTGTAGGACAGCTGCGGCGAGGAGGATATGGCTGGGCCCAGGGACTCCGGAACCCGGGGGTATGGGGGGCGGTAGGAGCAGTCGCCCTCACAGGTTCTATACCAGTGGGAACATGCCTGGCATGCCTCCACATGCAAAACAGTACCGACCGGCTGCCCTCTGCCCCCCTCCCCCCCCCCCTCTCCTTCCGTCCCACTACCATGAGGCTGTTGCATGTTAAAGTTGCACTCCATAGGCGACAAGGCGTCACAGGCTAATCCGACGCGAAAGACAAACCATGTGCGGAAAGTGCCAACAGCAGGCTATACCGCGTTGGAGCCTCCGCTCGTTGGAGCCTCCGATATCAGACTACAGCCTTCATTTCTCTGCACAGCACTTCGTCAGTGGTCCATATACATATATATATATAACTGAGAGAAAAAAAACCTTAGTGAAAACAGCAACAACGGACGATTTATTCCTCGACGTTTCGGCCAGAGTCCGGCCTTCATCAGGAAGGCCAGACTCCGGCCGAAACGTTGAAAAATAAATCGTCCGTTGTTGCTGTTTTCACTAAGGTTTTTTTTTCTCTCAGTTATATACCCACGCCTACGGCCTCCCGCCACCATGCCCGTTATATATATATATCAGGCACGTAGCCAGGGGGGAGGCCCATGGGGCCCGGGCCCCCCCCCCCCCCCCCGAAATCTTTCATTTTGCTGGGACCTCCTCTCCCCCCTCCCCCTCATACAGCATTTTGTCATGGCCTGAACCAAAATCCTGGCTACGTGCCTGATATATATATATATATATATATATATATACACCCTCACTGCGGGGCCGGCAACTTCAACAGCCTCTCTCGCTGTGTGTGTGTGTGTGTGTGTGCGTGTGTGTGTGTGTGTACACACACACACACACACACAGCGAGAGAGAGGTGAACTACATGATGTGACATGAGCCCCCAGACGTCGCTCCCACACATCAGATATACCTCTGGAGCCCCTGGCTGGGCCATATAATATCCATCTTGTAGACGTGCAATGCCGAAATAATGCATTGGTAAAACGGGCGTCCCAAAAATATCACGCACGGGACCTATCCGACAAATCCATGAGTGGACATTTGCAGGACGTCCAACGGAGTAGAGAAATTGGACTTCGGTGATAGCCAAAAAAAGGCATCTTATGTTTGTCCCTCGGACATCCAGTTTGGGACCCGGACGTTGGGATCTAAACAGGATGTCCGTGGGACATTTGTGGTCCAATGGGTTTTGTCTCCGAGGGACGTTCATACTGTGTTATGGTCGTCTTTTCCAGAGACGGTGAGGACAAATACACATATGTGCTGCAAGAGGGCCTCCACACAACCCTACAGAGCTTTTTGTAGACATGCCCCTACAGTACAACTGGCCCGACACTTTCTATTTTGTCCCCTTGTGCACTTTCTGGCGCAAGATGAGCTAAACTGAAGCTAGGTTGCTATCTGTTCAGTTTGAACCCTCAAGCTACGTCCCTTTTCTCTTGACGGCCAAAATTTGAACGCAGGCATGGTTACTGCGGAATACCAAAAGTCTGCCATTCGTCTCCGAGGGACGTCCATTCTGAGTTATGGTCCTCTTTTCCAGAGACGGTGAGGACAAATGCACATCTGTGCTGCAAGAGGGCCTCCACACAACCCTACAGAGCTTTTTGTAGACATGCCCCTACAGTACAACTGGCCCGACACTTTCTATTTTGTCCCCTTGTGCACTTTCTGGCGCAAGATGAGCTAAACTGAAGCACGAGTAACCTTCTAGGTTGCTATCTGTTCAGTTTGAACCCTCAAGCTACGTCCCTTTTCCCTTGACGGCCAAAATTTGAACGCAGGCATGGTTACTGCGGAATACAAAAAGTCTGCCTTTTGTCTCCGAGGGACGTTCATTCTGTGTTATGGTCGTCTTCTCCAGAGACGGTGAGGACAAATACACATATGTGCTGCAAGAGGGCCTCCACACAACCCTACAGAGCTTTTTGTAGACATGCCCCTACAGTACAACTGGCCCGACACTTTCTATTTTGTCCCCTTGTGCACTTTCTGGCGCAAGATGAGCTAAACTGAAGCACGACTAACCTTCTAGGTTGCTATCTGTTCAGTTTGAACCCTCAAGCTACGTCCCTTTTCCCTTGACGGCCAAAATTTGAACGCAGGCATGGTTACTGCGGAATACAAAAAGTCTGCCTTTTGTCTCCGAGGGACGTTCATTCTGTGTTATGGTCGTCTTTTCCAGAGACGGTGAGGACAAATACACATATGTGCTGCAAGAGGGCCTCCACACAACCCTACAGAGCTTTTTGTAGACATGCCCCTACAGTACAACTGGCCCGGCACTTTCTATTTTGTCCCCTTCTGCACTTTCTGGCGCAAGATGAGCTAAACTGAAGCACGACTAACCTTCTAGGTTGCTATCTGTTCAGTTTGAACCCTCAAGCTACGTCCCTTTTCCCTTGACGGCCAAAATTTGAACGCAGCCCACGTAGCACGAAAACGTTCTGAGAACATTGCGGGAATGTTCAAAATAACATAGACAACATTCTTGGAATGTTGAAGATTTACGTAAGAACATTCTATCAACGTTGTCAGAATGTGGCGCAGGCACTTATCGCTACATTCGGGGAATGTCTTCAAAGGGATATTCTTAGAACGTTCTGAGAACGACATAGAACATTACCAGGTCATTCAATCAACATTGAAACATCCTAACAAGGTTCTAAGAACATTCTCAGAACATCCAAAGAACTTCTGCAACATTCTCTGAATGTTGCAAATTTACGTAAGAACATTCTATCGAAGTTGTCAGAATGTGGCGCAGGCACTTATCGCTACATTCGGGGAATGTTTTCTAGGTGATATTTTTAGAACATTCTAAGCACGAAAAAACCTAACAAGGTTTTCAGAACGTTCCCAAAACATCCAAAGGACGTCCGCAACATTCTCTGAAAAATGTTTAGAAAGATTCCACAATTATAGCTTGCTTACCTTACAGCCCCACTGAGCCGTACTACATATATTGATATATTAAATCTCGAAAAGCGATCGATATTTTTTAATCGAAATATACTTTTTCTAGGCCTAGCACAACCTAGACGGCTTTACCAGCGCATTAGCCACAGCCTGTACTATAACGGCAGTTTACTCCTACTTATCAAAACGTGCGGCATACATAACCGATTACTCACGCGGAGCATAAGAACAGATACCTACGGCATTTAGAATAGTTTATTGACAATCAGTTCCTCGATTCAGCAGGTGCTACGGGACTGATACAACCACAAGGTTCAGGTCAATTGGAATCCACCAATATACATAAAATGGTTCATCAAAACGACAACCGCCCCTGGAGTTGCCACCAAAATTATACAATCCTACTGGCCACTCCCAGACCTCCGTGACCCTGTGCACTCTTGATAGCCTTGTGTGACTCGCGCTCTATCATATTTCTCGCCTTGCCAATAACCAGATCTCCCGGAAACCTCAATTTATTTTCCCTGGTCTTTCTGAGCCCATGGCGTTGGTTGTCTTGGCAGCGTGTCTTTCGACTTCATTCGATCTATACCCATTCTAACGGCGGGAAGAGACAATGTAATCGATCATCGACCACCCGCACCAGGCGACTGCACCACCTTCTTTCAAAAATCTCGCGATTTTGGACTGCGAATTCCTCTTCCAGAAATGAGCGGAGTTTCCACCTCATGCGTAATAAAATGGGCCACATTGCTCTCTGCCGTCTTTGTTGTACCGACGCCTGGCATCTGTTCTTCCACAGTGCCCATTCTCCAACCGTGACTACGAGTCTTGCCCACGGCTTCTTGGGGGGGCTATTTTGAGTTACATATTTGCGTATGTCCAGCCCAAATCCTCGTGTTAGCCGCGCCCACAATTGCTGGGCGACCACGCACTCTGCAACGACATGTGTTGTTGTTTCCATTTGACCGCAGTTTATGCACAATGGGCTGGGCGATCCGCGTGCGCCCCATCTGTATGTTTGGGTGTTGGTCCGAAGAACATTCCATCCCCTTTTCCATTCAAACTCACGGACATCGACCGGTATTGTGGCGGCTGTGAGTGCTGTCCAGTGGAACGCGTTGATGCTTGCCTGTCGGTTTGGTGCTATTTCCTGGCACGTGAGGA